CTGGTGCAGCCACGGTGGAAAACAGTCTGGAATTTCCTCAAAAAGCTAAAAATGGAACTGTCTTTTGACCCAGCAATTCCACTGCTGGGATTATACCCTAAGAATCCTGAAACACCAATCCAAAAAAACCTAGGCACCCCAATGTTCATAGCAGCACAATTTACAACAACCAAGTGCTGGAAGCAACCTAAGTGCCCACCAGTAAATGAGTGGATCAAAAAACTGTGGTGCATTTACACAATGGAATACTATGCAGCAGAAAGAAAGAAGGAGCTCCTATCCTTCATGAAAGCATGGATGGAAATGGAGAGCACTATGCTAAGCGAAAGAAGCCAGGCGGTGAAAGACAAATACCATATGATCTCACCTATAAGTGGAACCTAATCAACAAAACAACCAACCAAGCAAAATATAACCAGAGACATTGAAATTAAGAGCAAATTGACATTAACTAGAGGGGAGGTGGGAGGGGATAATGGAAGGAAAAGGGGGAAGGGTTTTTAGGAACACCTATAAAGGACACATGGACAAAGCCAAAGGTGGGGAGGGTCAAGGGTGGGAAGCGGGGATGGCTGGGGTAGTGGGGAGAGTTGGGGAAAAAATGGAGATACCTGTACTTGAACAACAATAAAGAAAAGTTAAAAAAAAAACCCAACAACTATGGGACATTTACACAATGGTAATGGAAAAAATAATGAAGATTATATATTTTAAAAATTACTTGAAAAAAATATGATGGGAAACTTCCCTAACCTGGTGAAGGAAATAGACCTAAAAGTCCACAAAGTAGAGTCCCAAACAAGATGAACCTAAAGAGGGCCCATATTAAGACACATCATAATTGAAATGCCAAAGGTAAAAACAAAGAGTGAATATTTTAAGCAGCAATAGAAAAGCACATACCTACAAGGCTGTAGTTGATTTCTTTTTTTTTTCATTTTTTAAATAATTTATTTTTATTTTTTTAAACACATTTTATTGATTATGGTATTACAGTTGTCCCATTTTCCCCCTTCATTCCCCTCCACCCTGCACACACCCTCCCACCCACATTCCCCCTCTATAGTTCATGTCCATGGGTCATAAGCTTTTTAGCTCCTACATTTCCCATACTCTTCTTGCCTTCCCGCTGTCTATTTTCTCCCTACCATTTATGCTACTTATTCTCTGTACCTTTTCCCCCTCTCTTCTCCTCCCACTCCCCTGTTGCTAACTCTCCATGTGATCTCCATTTCTGTGGTTCTGCTCTTGTTCTAGATATTTGCTTAGTTTGTTTTTGTTTTTGTTTTTGTTTTAGGTGTGGTTGTTAATAATTGTGAGTTTGCTGTCATTTTACTATACATGTTTTTTATCTTCTTTTTCTTAGATGAGTCTCTTTAATACTTCATATAATAAGAGCTTGGTGATGAGGAACTCCTTTAACTCGACCTTATCTGAGAAGCACTTTATCTGTCCTTCCATTCTAAATTAAAGCTTTGCTGGATAAAGCAATCTTGGATACAGGTCCTTGCCTTTCATGGCTTGGAACACTTCTTTCCAGCCCCTTCTTGTCTGGAAGGTCTCTTTTGAGAAACCAGCTGACGGTCTGATGGGAACTCCTTTGAGGTTACTATCTCCTTATCTCTTGCTGCTTCTAGGATTCTTTCCTTCATTTTAATCTTGGCTAATGTAATTATGATGTGCCTTGGTGTGTTCTTCCTTGGGTCCAACTTCTTTGGGACTCTCTGAGCTCCTGGACTTCCTGGAAGTCCATTTCCTTTGCCAGATTGGGGAAGTTCCTTTATTATTTGTTCAAATAACCTTTCCACTTGATGCTCTTCCTCTCCCCCTTCTGGTATCCCTATAATTCGGATATTGGAACATTTAACAATGTCCTGGAGGTTCCTAAGCCTCTCCTCATTTTTCTGAATTTTTATTTCTTCATTCCTTTCTGTTTGGTTGTTTCTTTCTTTCCTCTGGTCCACTCCATTGATTTGAGTCCCAGTTTTCTTCCCATCACTATTGGTTCTCTGTGCATTTTCCTTCATTTCACTTAGTGTAGCCTTCATTCTTTCATCTAATTTGTGACCAAATTCAACCAATTCTGTGAGCATCCTGATCACCAGTGCTTTGAACTGTGCATCTGATAGGTTGGCTATCTCTTGGTTGCTTAGTTGTATTTGCTCTGGAGCTTGGATCTGTTCTTCCGTTTGGGCCCCCTTTTTTGTCTTGATGCATCTGTTACATATGAGGGGCAGAGCCTTAGGTGTTCACCAGGGCGGGTCAACCCAGTCACTGGGTTGTGATGTTGTATGTGGGGGTGGGGTCTGAGAGGGAACAATGGCACTTGCTGTGCTCTCAGTTGGATTTCAGTCCCTTCAGCTGCTTCCCCCAAGCAAATTGGGCTCTTCTGGTGCTGATTCCTGGGTGGGTGGGCTTGTGTATGTTCTAGGACCCTGTGAGTCTCTCCAGTGAACTCTCCTGTGAGGCTGGGAGGCTCTCCCTGTGCTTCAATCCCACAGGTGTTCCCAATTGGTGCCTTGAGGCTTTATTTCCTGGTGCTGGGACCCTGGGTTGTGTGGTCTGTCTCGCTCCCTAGCCTCTCCTGGTTTACCTGGGCACAAATGTGTGACTGCCTGGTCAGCCAGCTGCCTGGCACACAGTGCCTCGCTTCACAATCACTGTCTCACTGGGTCTGCCAGCCGCCCCCTGTGCGCCCAGGGTCTGCCTGCTTCCATCTTGCGTACCCAGTGCCATTATATTTTGTGCCACGACCCCTTTCCTCCTGGCCAACTCCACCCTGCCTACCGGTCTGGATCAACGTGTGTATTTTAACTCCTTGGTTGTCGGACTTCTATACAGTTCAATTTTCTACCAGTTCTGGTTGTTATTTTGTTTTTAAATTGTTTTTGTCCTTGTTTTGGTAGTGTGAGGAGGCACAGTGTGTCTACCTACGCCTCCATCTTGGCCAGAAGTCCTGTAGCTGATTTCTTAACAGAAACTTTGCAGGCCGTAGGGATTGGCAAGAAATATTCAAAGTGATGAAAAGCAAGGACCTACAAGCAAGATTACTCTGTTGAGCAAAGCTATTGTTTAGAATTGAAGGACAGATAAAGAGCTTCCCAGACAATAAAAAGCTAAAGGAGTTTTTCACCACCAAACCAGTATTACATACAAATGTTAAAGGGTCTTCTTTAAGAAGAAGAAAAAAGATAAAGAATATAAACAAAAAAATGGCAATAAAAACCTATCCATCAACAATTACTTTAAATGCAAATGGATTAAATGCTCCAATCAAAAGACACGGTGGTGCTCTGGCAGGGTGGTTCAGTTGGTTGGAATGTCCTGTACACCAAAAGGTGCAGGTTCCATTCTTGGTCAGGGCACATACCTAGCTTGTGGGTTTGATCTCTGATCAGGGCACACATGGGAGGCAACTGATCAATGTTTCTCTCTCACATTGATGTCTTTCTCTCTCCTTGCCTCTCTTTCTAAAATCAGTGAACATACCTTTGGTTGAGGATTTCAAAAAAAGATATACAGTGGCTGAATGCATAACAAAACAAGACCCTTACATATGTTGTCTACAATAGATTCATTTTAGATAGAAATACACAGACAGACTGAAAGTAACAGGATGGAAAAAGATATTTCATGAAAATGCAAACAGACAAACAAAGCTGGTATGGCAATACTTATACAAGACAAAATAGACTTTAAAACAAAGGCTGTAGCAGGAGACAAATAAGGACCTAGAAATTCCATTTCTAGGCATTTATCCAAAGAAACCTAAAACTCTAAATCAAAAAGCCATATACACCGATATGTTTATTGCAGCACTATTTATAGTAGCCAAGATATGAAAGCAACCTAAGTATCCATTGATAGATGAAAGGATGAAGTAGTGGTGCATATATGCAATGGAATATGGCTCAGCCATACAAGAGAATGAAATCTCACCATCTGCAACAACATGATGGACCTAGAGGGTATTGTGCTGAGTGAAGTCAGACAGAAAAAGACAAATACCATATGATTTCTCTTACATGTGGAATTGAAAAATCAAAATAAACCAGCAGAACAGAAACAGACTCATAGATACAGAGAACATTCTGATGGTTGCCAGATAGGAGGGGTGTTAATGGACTGGGTGAAAACGGTGAAGGGACTAAGTACAAATTGGTAACTACAGAATAACTATGGGGATGTAAAATATAGCATGGGAAACATAGTCAATAATATTGTAATAACTATAGGATGTCACATGGGTACTAGATTTATTGGGGTGATCACTTTGTAAGTTATATAACCTTAATGTCTAATCATGGAGTTGTACACTTCAAAGTAATATAATATTGTATGTCAACTGTAATTTGAAAATAAGAAATATTAAAAACAAAATAAAATTTCCAGAGAAAAACCACACATGGTAATCAATCAGGTTTGAGGGTCATGTGAAAAAGCTGCAAATGGATGTGACTAGGTAGTAGGAAGATTAAAAAGAAATAGAAGGTTATAGGTCCAAGAAATAAAGTTTATCAAATGGCCACTTGTGGTTCTGTGAAGGTGGCAGATCCTGTGATAAGAATTCATCCAATGGACCATAGTGCCGGGTGGCATGTGGGCCTGGGAGCCTGCTGGCAGCATGGCAGGATGCTGCAGTCATGCATTGGTGTGTGCGTGGGGGGTGCATAACCTTGAATATTTTTATGAAAATCTTTCTCCTTCTAGGAACTGTACCTAAAAGAATAAGACTGGATTTTCGGTGAAAATGTGACACAGAGATCTAAGATACCATTGTTGTAAAAATACATTTATAGTGTAAAAAAATGTATTAGGGGAAAAAATAAACCTTGCATGTTTATAATTGGTGAAGCATGGCTTTTTCAAAGGCAGAGAAGGTAAAAGTTTCCCCTTGAATATGACCAACAACTGATGTTAAGGGACAGGAAATACTGTAGAGGGTAGAAGAGGGTGACTGCAGAATCTAACAGCTGTGACTTTCCCACAGTTACTGTCACCTGTTTGGGTTTCTTTGACAGGACAGAAACTGGAGCTGTCTCCGGCTGCATCATTTCTATGTCTCCTCCTCCTTCACCATCTGATGCTTCTGGAAGATATAAAGTTTAAAAATTAGAAAAGCCTCTCCCCTCCCCCACAATTGCTACCACTGCTAGTACAATCTTGGTATATCACCTTTCTAGAAGGTTCTATTCCTTAGCAACTCCATCTCTAGGAAGATATAGTTAAGGAAATGATTCAAAATGAAGATAGAGATTTCAGCACCAAGATGGCAGTCTTATTTATAAAGCTGCAAAACTGAAGGTTATCCAGATGTCTAACATTAGGGAATGTTTAATTATGGAACACTCACATTCACACTCATTTTAGAGATATAAGACGCCTCCTTTTCAAATAAGAAAGCTGCTGCTTAGAGAAGACCATAGTTCATGAGAAATTCTTATTTTAAATTTTTAAAATCTTTCAACAAAGAGATACATTTTTACTCAAAGAATTGGGAAAAATAAAAGTTTTAATGGTTTTCCTGTTTATAAAGTTCTCTCAAAGAAACATGGCAACCATAAATTTCTTACTTTCCATAATGTCATACTGCCTTCCAGATTATAGCAGTTGCTCTCTGTGTATACATTTTTGAATCTTTGAAAGGCTTTACTCATTCCCTTTGAGTTTCTCTATATATCTCAGAGGCAGCCCAAAGGAGTATTTGGTGAGTAAACATTGGTCAGAATTCATATTAAGATCCAAATGAACCCATTTGGTAGTCTTGAGTTTTTAAATGTTTGCATACCATGATGATTAATTTTGTGTCAACTTGATTGAGTCTTGGGATGCCTAGATACTTGGTCAAACGTCATTCTGGGTGTTTCTCGAGATTAACATTTCCATGGGCATACTGAATAAAACATCAGATGAAAGCCTGAATCGGCTAACCTTTCTCTAAGAATATTTCCTGCTTTTGCACTTGAACTGAAACATGGGCTCTTCCTGGATCTGGAGTATGTCAGCCCAGACCTCAGACTGGAACTACACCATGAGCTCTCCTGGGTCTCCAGCTTGCCAATTCATCCTGATGATTTTGGGACCTGTCAGCCTCTATAATTGCATGAACCAATTCCTTACTTTATATCTACATCTACATCTATAGATACAGATAGATATATAGATTTTTACCTCCTATTGGTTCTGTTTTCCTGGAGACCCCTGATCAATACACATACTTTCAACTGTGTAACATGAAAAAAAAAACTCTCCCCAATGGAGTAGTAGCAGGTAGAAGGTTAACAAGGAATTTTCAATGAGTGAATTAAGTTGGTATTAAAAGTATTTATAGAACTTCTCCCTTTGGGGAGATAGTATTAGTAATCATATTTTTCCCCATTCTTCCTGCTAAGTACAGCTAAAATTCCTGGGCATTATATGGGTTGGCCAAAAAGTCTGCATTTTTTTTTCTGTAAAATAAGGCACATTTTTCATTTTCACCAATAACTTTATTGATTTGGGTATTTTGAGTATGTCAGTTATCTCCCACATGGTATAACATTGACTGTTCTCAATTAATGTCTTGATTTGATTGCTATCAACTTCAACTGGTCTGACTGTGGAGCATCATCCAGCAATAAATCTCCAGCACAAAACTTGGAGAACTACTTTCGACATGTTCAATCAGTCACAGCGCCTTCTCCATTCACTGCACAAATCTTTTTTTTTTTTTGCATTGTGTTTTTATCTTTCTTGAAATACTAAAGCATAATACGTGAAAAATGTTGCTTATTTTCTTCCATCTTCAATATTAAAATGGCGACACAAGAATTCACCAATTTTGAAAAGTTCTTTAAAAATGAACTCTTGCCCTGGCTGGCATGGCTTAGTGGATTGAGCGCAGGCTGCGAACCAGGCATCACAGGCTCGATTCCCAGTCAGGGCACATACTGGGTTGCAGGCCATGGCCCCCAGCAACCGCACATTGATGTTTTTTTTTCTCTCTCTCTCTTTAAAAAATGAACTCTTATATGACAGCCGTCACAATGTAATCTAACAAAATTGTTTTGAATGAAGTTAAAGACAACTAAGCACTAGTAGAGCCATCTTATGGAAAAAAACCAAATGAACTTTTTGGCCAACCCAATATATAAAACAAAACAGGATGTCTCAGAAACGGGTGTGACTACAGAAGACCAACAAGTAATATTCTTGTTGGGATGGAAATATTCGGCATCCTAACTGTATTCATGTCAATATCCTTATTTTGATATTGTCCTATAGTTTGGCAAGTTGTTATCACTGAGGGAATTTCAGAAAGGGGACATGTGATCTCTCTGTATTGTTTTTAATAACTGCATGTGAATCCACAATGATTTCAAAATAAAAAGTTCAATTAAAATACTCTTTAAAGGAAATCCATTCTCTTCTTCAGGAAGCCCAAAATTATTATGCTGGAAAAGCTAAGAAGCATGTGGTTGGCTGCAGCCCGGACTACAGCAGCATCCCCACTGCTGGGCACCCTGTCACTGCAGTCCTGACTCCGAGCCAGAGGGCAGCTGGGTTCAGAGCACTGCAGTCAGCCCAGGGAGGTCACGGGTGTCTTAAAAATAAAAGCCTGAGGGCTAGGGTGAGATAAAATACAGGATTACCCATTAAATTTGAATTTCATAGAAATGCTGATAATGTCTTAGTGTAGGCAACTCTCAAATATTACATGGAGAATATCTAAATTACTGTTTATCTAAAATTCAAATTTAACAGGTTGTTGTACATTTTTACTTGTTAAATCTGGCAATCTGACCTGGGGAATATCCTTTCCCAGAAATGACAACCTTCATTTGGTCCTATGAAATTCCTTATACTGGGTTCTATTCATGGCGTCCTCTTTCTCTGAACACCCTCCAACCCATCTTCATTGGGAATCATTCAGGTAAGCCTCTGCTAGAACTACACAGCCCTCCTTCCTTCTGCCTCTGTACTTACACTTACTGTACCTTATAAATCAGCACATAGTTTTATCCTTCCTCACAGTGTGTGCTGGTACTGCATAAATGTTTGGTTTTTTTCTCCACCTCAGCTGTAAACAGTTTGAGAGTTACCCATGAGTACCTCAAGTACTTGACCCAGTGTTGATTACAAGTGAAAGGCACTCCCATCTAATGCTTTATTTATATTTCTATTATAAAAGTAATATGTATTATCTGTAAAACATTACACCCTTACTTAAAGCTTCTATACTTTTATTAGCTTTAAAAACACTTTAAGATAAAAAGATGAAATACAAATAGGTAACTGTCAGTATGAAACCCATATATATTTAAAAACCAAGCAGTGTTCTTTAAAAAAAAATTCTGAATTCTGTATTTCTCCATTGCCCAGAGTCTGAAAACTGAAGTGTACACAGTCTGTATTTAAGCAATTTAGCTGAAAATAGCACATTTTTAAAGGTATGTGACTCTTACACAACAAAAACCCATGGGAAATATTTAAAATACCCTGTTAATCAAGTGCTTTAAATCTGAGTTACTTCTTGTTCCAAAACATTATTTCATCTGCAACCTTTTAATATATAAAATGACATCATCTCCTATCACCATAGATTGAATATATTAGTTGTTTTTTGGTTCTAAAAGAGTAAAGTGGTTTCCTGAATTAAGGATGCTGGTTCTGTGATTTCCACTAAGAAAATACCAAGAGAAAAGTATGGAGACCCAAGCTATCCAGCCCGGGTCCAGCACCAGGGTTGCTCTAGAATTGCTGGCATTTGAGGAGGGACACCAGACCTGTACCAATCAGACCCAGAGGCTGACTGAGCCCATGGAATGGAACCACCAAGATGGTGCCACCTAGTCTCCAAATCACTCAGTGTACTTTAAAATATTCAAAAAGATAAAAAATTTGTTGAATTCTTCCAAAAGAGTACTCAAGTACACTGTTCTTTTTAAATATACGGCAAAAAGAGCAGGCTGAAATTAAAAGGTTCCTTTCCTTCAATCCCTGTCTTTGTCCTCTTAATGAGAAATATCAAGTCCAGTTTCCCAGCAATTTCCTTAAGCTTCCAAGTACTTGCTTGAATGAACTCTTTCTAGGTTCTTGGAGGAACCCTGGCAGTAAATCATAGAGTCCAATTTTCTTGAAAAATTTGCAAAAGAGAGGTATTTTAATTACAATATGTTAAGACCACTGTTATTTCCAGTTAGAATTCTCCTTTGTCACATATCTCTAGTGAGTGGTGTCGGGGTGGGAGTGAGACTTTTGGGGATACAGAGGAAGTTGGTTGAACACACATTTAGTATGAGTACGATGGGATATTATGTGGTTCACAATCATATAGTCTATAGTTAAGTTATTGCTAGTTGTCCTAGGGCAGGACTGCTTCAAGGAATAAACAATCCTTCCATACTGTGCTAACAGGAGACACCCTGCTACAAAGAGAGTGGGACCAGATGTTATGGATCGGGGACGAATGTGCCTGTAGCACTCATCCTAGAACCATGTGGGAGGAGGAAGAGAAGCCAGGTTTGGCAAGCACTGAACCAGAAACTAGTTAGTGAAAAATTCTTCCAATCATCAAAAATGTAAAACTAAGCAGAAAATTTTTGTCTATTAAAAATGGAAGATCTTTCCTGTAGGAATAGATGGTATATTTTACATAGTTTTTAAAGAAATCATATTTTTAATTTCTTATTTTGTTTAAAGATTTTATTTATTTATTTATTTTTAGAGAGGGGAAAGGAGGGAGAAAGACAGGGATAGAAACATCAATGTGTGGTTGCCTCTCACGTGGCCCCCTCCTGGGGACCTGGCCTGCAACTCAGGCATGTACCCTGACTGGGAATCGAACTGGAGACCCTTTGGTTTGCAGGCAGGCACTCAATCCACTGAGTCACACCAGCTGGGCTAATTTCTTATTTGATGAAGTAAGTAAAAGAAAAGTTTTCAGAATTCTTTTGTTTCTAGCAATACAGTTGTGATTTCTTACTTAAAATAACTTCTCTCATACCTAATTTTGTATGGTAATTTTATATTTTTTTCCTAAGAGATGGATCCCAAATCATATAAGCTTCAAGGTTCACAAAGGCCTGGATCTGCCCTGATGAGCAACCC